CAAAGGCAAGCTGGTTCTCTCTGCCTACCCAAGACAGCCTCCATAGAACCCACTCACCTCCTTTCCATTTGATTTGGGTGACCCAGAGGTTGTAAGTGTGTTATCACAATATAGGCAACCAGAAGTGGTTCATGAAATGAGCAAGGCTGGGAAATAAGACTGTAGGTGATTCCTTCTTCTACAAAATTAAATGGAGTCTTGTGGTACGCAGCCATGTATTGGTCTTTTAAAGTGGCTATTTCTTCAGCAACTTGATAGAAATCAATATGAGGATGGGAGCTGGAAGGGAAAATGAGGGCTTGAGCAAAGAGGTAATGCATACAAACCTCAGAGGTGCAGGGCCCCGTTGGCCCAGTTACACTGGGCACCTGGCTTAGAAATGATCCTGGGTAAACACTTTGTTTTGTAAATTGGAAAACTGAAGTCTGGAGACACCAAAGACTTGTCCAAGGTTATATATCGTGTTAGCCAAAGAATAGGACTACCCCCCAGGACTCCTGACTCCGCTTTCTAGAATACCTCAGCTGCCTCAGTATTCCCTGAAATGACTTTTAGGGACTAAGATGGTGGGGCTTATGCTAATGACTATGAAGAGGAAATGTCAAAAAGAAGAGACAATGAGATAAAAATAGAGAGGAGATCACAAACCTCAGTGTTCCCTTGTTTTGTTTTGTTTTGTTTTGTTTTCTGTCTCTGTCTTTCACAACTCTCAAGCTGGCCTTTCTTATTCCCTTGCATGTACTCACTGTGAGTGGCCTCCAAAGGGCATGCAAGGCTCTGGTCCTACAGCATGGCCTCCTCTGCACCCACTTCCTGGGGCATGTGTCTTCTCACATCACTTCAGCTCCTGTGACACATAGGCAAACCTACATCTGGTGCTCTAGCTCTGGATTTCACATTTGTTTCCACAGGTTGTTCTGAGATATTTCCTTATGTAAATATGTTTAGCTCAACTGGAAATCAAAATTGGAATTCATTTTCTTTCTGAAAATCTGATTTTTTTCCAACATCTGTTTCCTTCAGTACTTCTGTAGTCTCCTCTTTCTCCAGACTCAAACTTTCATGTCGCCAGAGGCTGGGGGAGGTGTGAATGGGGAGTTGATGTTTTATGGGTATAGAGTTTCAGTTTGGGAAGAGGAAAAAGTTCTAGAGATGGATGGTGGTGATGGCTATACAATAATGTGAATGTACTTAATGTCATTGGACTGTACACTTAAAAATGGTTAAAATGGTAAATTGTATGTTATATATATATTTTACCACAATTTTAAAAATACAAAAAAAAAACTTTCAAGTCATCTTCAGCTCATGGCTACCTTCCTCTCTCTTCCCTAGCTCATTTTATTACCAGGTCATGCTTATTTTTCACTTAGTGGAGGCTCCTCAAATTTTCACATCCTCCAGTATCACCAGTGGAGCTTGTTATCAGTTCCCAAGCACCATTATACTCTTTAGTCCGGGAGTAGGGCCTGGAATTTGCAGTTAAATAAGCCTGATGAACATAGACATTGACCACACCTGGAGAAACATTGCCTTTTGGTGTCTTTTGGCTTTGACTCTTTGTCTCCTTTCCACAACTTCTTCCCCATCCCAGCTGCCTCTCATCACCTCACACCTTTATTACAACAACAGCTGGCATGACTTCAGCTACCCTTTCTCAGCTACAGTCCCTTCAGCTGTCAGGAACCATATTCTGCAAATATTTTTGGCATCACATCACTTCTCTGCTCCAAAGCCTACCATGGCTCCCTGAGACCTATTAGATCCTATCTCTACTCATTTGGCTGGGAGCCAGCCAAGTTGGCCCCCAATTCTCCCTCTTTTTTTCTTCCTTATTCACTTTCATCTCTCCAGACTTATTAGCTGTTTTAAATCTTATGTTAGCCTCTCTGCTAGTTTGTTGTGGTCTCTTTTTTGCCCTCTCCTCCCCGGCCCCAGAATGCTTACCTAGTCTATGAAGAATTATGGAAACTGTTGAGATTCTCCATCCTTTTCTTCCTCAATGCATTGTGTTCCCTCCCCCCAGTCCCAGATCTTCCATCCTCTAGGTGCATGACATGGGGCAAATTGTTTTACTTCTCTGTGCCTTGATGTTCCATTTACTCATCTGTGAAATGGAGATATTAATGGCATATCTTCATAGGATTGTATAGATTAAAAGAAGCAATAGATATAAAGAGCTTAGAATAGTGTCTGACACCAAGTAAGTGCCACATAAATGTTAGCTACCATTATAATTATTGTTATTATGGCCCTTTCCAGCCAGCTCCTCCCTGGAAACCACTTCTGTTTGGAATAGCTAACTGATAGAATTCTCTATCAAACCTTGCCTGATCCAGGAGAGGTGGTTAAATATTAAGTATTTGGGTTCCAACAAGCTTCTCTGCATGAGACAACTGAGGAACTGAGCTGTCTGCTGTAATTATGTCCATTAATTTCAAACCAACTAGCAGGAGACAAGAGAGATTTGAAAGCAAAATTTTCCAGGGTAAGTAAGATGATGTTGGGATAACTTCAAAACATCCTAAGCAACAGTATACCTTCTTTTCTGTGGTCTTCCTAGAGTCCTTCTCCCCACACTCAAGGTTCTAACAGCCATGCTTCCTCATCTGCTCACACCTTGGGTTTCTTCTCAGACTCCAACAGGGAACATCTTCCTTCGTGGTACTTCCTAGCCTGAGAGCCTTGCACCTTGCACCTCAGTAGTCCTTGTATGTCAGTCATCTACCACTCACATTTGTTTTACTTTTCATATCCACATCTGTGCTTTTGTGGCAAATACAATACACTCCTTTAAAAGGCCTCACTGGACTCACATTCATGGTTTGTCATTATGTGTTCTCTCTCTCTCAATGGATACCAAAAGTTCAATTACCATTGGGTTGGAGGGATAGTTCTGAGGTCATTCTTGACATTAAAAATGGGCCCTTGTGGTCACACAGTCTGGGAACCACTGCCCCATGGGATATGTGGGCACGGTGGGAGTAGCACTGAACTCTCTGGCTCTTACTTTTCGTGTCTGTCAAATGGAGGTAAATCTTAACTGCTTCTTTTTCTAAGGGCAGGAAACAAAATGTTCTGTGTTCATGAGAAGAGGCATGGAGGGGTGCTCTTGTGATTCTTGTTGACCTGCTGAGAGGATCAGATGAGATAATAGATAGGAGGGGCCAGGGAAAGGGAGCACGTCCAAGCTGGGGAACATTATTATTGCTGTTCCTCTTGTTCTTTTCCTTGTTCTGAGTCCAGCTGGATCAGCTGAGCTCAGAAACCATGAAGTTCTTTCCAGGAGCAATGTGTTCTTTTGTCTTTCCCCACCTCTAGTTGTTTTTCTGTGGGATAAAAAAAAAAAGAGATGATCCTATATGTGACTAACAGCCACAAAGTTCCTCTTATCTAGTCTAGGAACTGCTGTGGCCTCCTAAGTGTGTTTGTCTCTGTGTAGTTGGGGTTGCCTAGGAAACAAAGTTGTTCTCTCTTTCCCACTATGTGACTGTGGTCAAGTTTTTCCCCCTTTTCTTGTAGGGAAGGGCTTCATCAGCAGAGATGGCTGTATGTTTGCTGGGACATCTTCTGAGGGTTGTTTTTTTTTTTTTGTCTTTTGGCTTGTTTGGTTGGAAATCGCATTTGGAAAGGCTACAGAAAAGCTAAAGAGTCAAAAAGTCCCTCAGCTCATCTTGAAAGGAGGGGTTGGAGTAAGTGGGGACTGGGGAGAGTCAGATTACTTTGGGGGTGGCTGACTGGTCCAAAGTGTGTATATGTTTCAGCAGCTGTGAAATTTGCATGCCATGACCAAATTGTAGACAATGAAGTTGGCATCAAGAACAGATTAGGAACAGGGGGAAACCGGGATTTGAGAGGCCACCAAGAAGGCATTTGAAACTTTCTGAAGAGGAATTTGTTGACTAGAATAGAACAGGCTAACATGTAAGAGCTTTACAGTGAAGGAAACATGACATTTTGAATTTAGGCCATGATTGGTGTAAAGGAAGGGCCAAGCAAGACCTCTTGGTATTTGAGGTTTGTGGTATAAGAAAATCAAGGAGTCTATTCAATTTGAAGTGACAAAGGAATAGGTACATATACTATAGGAGGCTGAAATTGAATGGATCACTCAAATAGGGATGATAGCATCTGCTGGAAACATGGTGAACCTAGAACACAGCTCAGGGTCCTGGTTAGGGTGTGTTAGACACCAAATGCTCATTGATGGTCAATCAGAGAAATGGCAGGGCTCTGGATGCCAGAGACATGGGGCTGGGGAAAGAGTGATGGATAAGGATGAACTTCAAAGACAGACAGAGGAGGGAAGCTGGAGTCAAGACCCTTAGACTTGGTCCTGCCCATGTGACTCATGAGTTTTTGTGAGCAAACTTCCAGCATTGACAAGTGCAGCAGCAGAGGATGAGAGAATCTTTTCTCAGGGGAGAGGGTTGGAGTTTTGACCACAACATGTATTGTGTGTTCTTTTCTAAGGTCCTCTTAGCTCCTTTTCCAAGGTCAAGGGTCTATGTGGACTGGTATTAAGGTGAATACACTAAGTGATCCTTATGTTTTAAGAAGGAAGAGGCTCACTCATGTTTATTTAGTTCCTCTCTTCTTGCTCACTACATGTATAACCTTCCTTTTTCATTGGGCCTTTTTGGAGTATCCTTCCTTCCAAGTCACTCCCTCAAGCTGAGGTTATGTATTAGTCACCTTGCCACTCGCTCTGAAAATATCATCCAAAACCAGTGTTAGGACAGAGAGGGTTGGATGTGGGGTTGAGTACCAATTTGCTGTAATAGCTGTATGACTTTGGGCAAGTCACTTAAACTAGCTGAGTATCAGCTTCCTTACCAGTACAGTGTGGGTATTGTGACAGTTATGCAGGATCATGGAGGAAGGATAGGCCTGCCACTTAGGGGATGTTCATGAATGGTCAGTGAATCAGGAAAACAATGCTCCCAACCACATGAGGCGCCCTTACCAACCGCTCCATTTATACTCAGTCAGACACCAGGTTTATTTATAGAAAAAAAGAGCAAAGTTTATTGAAATTTTAAGCTACATTTGAGGAATTCAAATCCAAATCCAGGAGACATACATCAGGATAAGGTGTCAGAAAGTGGAAAGTGTTCACTGCCACAGAACCTCCTAGAGACAAGTTCCCTGAGCACATCACCCAGGCACCACCAGGTCAAAGCCACTGCCTTGTTCATCCCTTGTCCACAAAAACAAACAAACAAACAAACAAACAAACAACCACCCCAGCAAGCCAATCTTCACTTGAAAGCTTTCCACAAACATGAAAAAAAGTTTTTGAATAACAATGTGAAGTCCCAGCTAATTTTCTCTCAACCCCATTCTATGTAGTCAGCACCAGTGAATGGTGGGTTTGGCATTCAAAATAGGACCTCACATGTCTTCAGTGGATAGATGGGGCAATGGTTGCAGCAGCAAGGCATCATGGCCGCATTCAGAAGCTGGCCCTCTTCTTGCCTTTACTTTTAGTCTTACTTAACCTAAAGGACAAACTGGATCAATCTGGTAAATGAACACAGTCAAAGAATTAGCTTTATGAGATAAAGGACTAGTCAGCACTCCCAAAGCTGGTTAAACCCTTCAACATGTAGGTGTATGTGTATATGTATACATCACTACAGTAAGATACAGATCTAGCCCTATGGGTATATATACGACAGTATGGCTATATAGAAAAACTATGCCATTACTAACCAAACAGAACTTTGTAGGTGGTCATCCCAAAGCTGTAATCCCACACTGGACTGTGTGCAAAGCCATGCATTATACCATATTAACCAACAGAAGGCTGACTTGGCTCAATCTTCCCCATCTTTGGCCCTGCCTTGGTGAGGCAGGGGATGAGAGAGGGTGGTCTCTGCTTAAAACACAAATGGCTTCCTCATAGGGACAGTCGTCAGGTGAAGCTGTTAAAGATGTCCATGGAAATGAAAAGCAGACCCCCTTATACTTTCTGGACCAAACTGGCATCACATCTCAAACTACCTTTCTCCTCTGCCAGTCACAGCAAAGTTGCCTGGGCCCTGGGAGTGCCCAGGGCATGGTGGCATTAGAGGCTCACTGGCTTGGGGTGACGAGGCCCCATGCAACTCAGCCTCCAAAGACATGCTCTTTGTCAGGGGTCTGTCACTGGAGTGGACCCAGGTAGCCATGTCCTTGGGACATCTTTTGGCACCAGCTATGCTAGGTATAAAGTTCTCCACGTGAGATGATGCTTGGGGAGCCAAAAACAAACTGGAAAGAACTAGGTAGAACAACTTTAGTGGCTCTGCCCACCCTGAGGACAGAGCCACTTACACTGCAGAACCATCAGGGGCCTCAGGTGATTGTGGTGTTTCAGGAGCTGGCTCTTCAGGGCTCAGACGGGACTGGAACTTCTCCAGCTGCTCTGGGCTGGCCAGGGTCTTCAAGAGGGTGTTCTCACGCTCGAGCTGGGAATTCTTCTCCACCAGTTCTCGAATCTGCTCCTTCAGGACCTCCACCTCCTCTCTCACAGCATACATCAGATGATTCTTCACCAGATCCTGTCACAGAGAAAACCACAACAAAGCTATTCATCAGCCATCAATGGCTCCTGCTCAGCACTTTCACCTTGCCATCAAGGTGTCTGCGATGTCCCTTATGCCACTGACCTCCAACCTTCCCTCAGAAACCCCTCAGCACACTGGCTCTGCAGCCCTATTCCCCCTGCACCCTTCTTTGTAGCACCTAAATGCTTGCTTAGGAGAGCTGCACAATCAGGGCAACACTTGTATTGGGAACCCAGGTTTGAGCTACACAGGATCCACCCTGTTAGTTCCTAATGACTTTCAAAGCTGGCTGCTTAGGAACATTTTAGGTGAGACTTTTGCTGATTGCTGGGGGTTAGCTATGTCCCCATTTCCACATAAGTTCCTGCTGCTGGCCCAGATCCCAGAGAAGACCTGCAATGCACCCCACACTGTTTTGTCTGCTTTACTCATCTTCACCAAGACAATACAATTAGCAATTTTGGAGTCTCCTCCTGTCCATATGGCCAATCACACTGAGTTGCAGCTGTCCTGAAGCCTGGCTTGACAAGACACTTGCCCTAGGGGGAAGTTACCTGATTGCTGCATCCTCTGATTTTGATGACTGCACTAGGGTCAGGGAACTGTGTCATTAGGCTCCAGGACACAGTAAGTGTCGCTAACTGCTAGAAGACTTAAACCTCTGCAGCTATTATGGCTGTTCCATGGAGTACAACCTCTACCTGGTGAAGGGAGAGGGAAGGGGTGGGATGCTTTGTTTCCTGTTCCCTCCCAACTCCTGACCCCAGCCCAGGCTCTGTAGAGACACTGCAGTGCTGCTGCATCCAATGAGCTCTGGCCCCTGCCAAATGCAGGCTGCAGACAAATGAAAGTATCTGAGCATACAGCTCTGTAACAGGCCTAGGAAGAAGCCAGAGGCCACTGCAAAGCTCCAGGATGGGTGAGGAAAAAAGAAAGAAGAGGGCCCATCGAGGGTAGACTGGAAATGCCCTCAAAGGTGGCACTCTAATGGGACTCTACTTAAGGCCTACAAGGGGATAAAAAGCAGGCTTTCAGCTTCCTGAGGCTCTTGACTAATGGCTTTGCACTCACCCCCTAAGTCATGCGGAATAACATAGCAGCAGTTATAATGGGGGATGGGAATGATGTAGTGATGCCACTTACCATGGCCTGCTCAATCTTGTTGTCTATGGCCACCACGCTGGCTCCGGAGGCACTGCCAAGACAAAAAAGCAAAGCAACTGTGTTACCCACTCCATTCCACTCTGAGTACTCAGCAGCTGTGGCCAAAGTCCTCCATCTACCCCAGCTCTTTTTCTGTCTGGCCTTCCATTTCCGGGCACTTTGTCCCTATGTCCCTTCCTGGTCCCTGCAGGAAGCTGTACCTCACCACCCAGGCTGGCTTCCTGCTGCCACCACCCAGAGCTCAGCGTGCAGCGGCGCGTGGGTCCCACAGCGCATGGGCCAGCATGGCCTGTTCACTAGACTGGGCAACAGGCAAAAAATGGGGCGAGTTGATCAGGGAATCTCCCACCGCCAGCCCTTTGCAGCTCTAGCTCAGGAGGTCCCCGTAAACCTACCGAACTATGAACCCAGCTAGGAATTCCTTCTGGGCCTGGAAGCTTCCGGTCTACTCCCCTGCAGCGCCAAGCACAGCCAGCTCCCTGCCCACCCCTGCCTGCCACCCTTCTGCCTCCTGCTGCCTCTGCCTGGGGCTGCTGCAGCTCCTTCCCACAGCGCAGAGGGTGCAGGGACGCTAGGACTGCGGATCCCAGTACGGCGTTGACACCCCCTCTCCTCCTACCCGTACCCTACTCCCGCCCCTTCCCAGGATGCTGCACCGTTGGGAACCTGGAGTGGCGACAAGCGACTCTCTCAGAGATCCCGCTCACAGCTCAGCCTCGGTCGTACCTCTCGGCCGCACCTCTCGGGAGCTTTGGTCAGTAGTTTACCTGTTGTCCAGCTTAACGGAAACCACATCCCCTCCAAGCAGGGAAGAGAAGAAGGAGATGTTGAAATTGTGCAGCTGGTAGACCGCCACCTCCATGGGAGTTTGATACATTTTGGTATTCATGGCTGGGCTGCCGGGGAGCTCTGGCGCGCTTCCGCGGGGCTGGGCAGGCTGGGCAGGCTGGGCAGGCTGGGAAGCCTAGGCAGGTGGCTGGGGCTGCTGACGCACTGCAGGGGGCTGGGATCTGTACCTCGGACCCAGGGCTCGGAGGGGCAAAGGCTGCCCAGAGGACCCAAAGCCAGGCAAGTGCTCCGGACTTGAAGTAAAGTGACTCAAGAGGTGTCACCTTGTGTATCACAAACTCAACAGCCGCCTGTCCAACCCAGACTCGGAGATATTTCGGCTCCTGCTTCTTTATATAGGAGGAGCCAACTGCATCACATGGCGTCAGGGGTCATGCAAATGAGTCCTGTACAGGGCTCTGTGGCCCAGTGAAACCACATCCGCTCCCTGAACCTGAGGCTGGGACTGTAAACAGTTCAGCACTTTCTTGTGCCAACTGGCATCTCAAAAGAGGTCTCTGGAGATTGGTAAAACCCAAACTGGAACTGATTTCTTAGAGAAATTAATACAAATGCCATAACAAAAGATAGAGAGCATTCAGTAGAGGGCGGTGCTGGTTTTAAAAACTTTTCTTCAGGGGTTAGCCAGCATACTCCCATGGTTTCGCAATGCTGTCACACACCACACTCGCTGGACACTCACCCTCACCATGAGGAGCCTCACTTTCTTCCCACAGCTTGCCTTCTCAGTCTCTGTCCTGCACACATACTTTTTCGCCTGCATGCCTCCTCACTCAGCTAGTGGGCTCACTGACCTGACCCAACTCCACCACCCATACACTCAGCTCCTCCTCTGGATGTGCCTGTGTACTGACACATGCACAGGTCTGTGGCATGCATGAGAAGCATTCACAGTTCTGAGCTAATCTGTGCATGCCAATGTGTGCAGAGGAGAGAGCATCTAGCAGCTCAGATGAGTAGAGGAACATGTACAGGGAGCAGCTGGGGGACAGGAGGATGACAGAGGATGGGAGAGGAAATGGTAGGGGAGTGGGCATTGGAATCATCACAAGATGCCAAACCTTTTTCTCTGGTTTCTATACCCTACTCTTCAAAGAAAATACATACAACATTATCCAGGATTTCATGACCCTGTTTTAAAAACAAGATTCTGTTACTTTCCTGTAAACAGCAAAAGGCAACAAAACTACAAACCAAAACTATATATATATATATATATATTCATTCTTTCCTGGGAGATATATATATCATACCAGGAAAACAACCATCCTGTGATGGACCCAATCATACATAGGATTAGAGGGTACTTCTGGCACAAAAAAACTCCAGGTCACAAGGAAAATGAGGTTATTGTTGTCTACTAAGAGTTATATATGTTCCCATCATACTATATTTTCATCTTTTCAGCCCAAAGCTTAAAACAAGGACATCAGAGTCTTGAGGGTCTTTTCTCCAGTTCTTTCCACAAGGAAGCCACCTTGTGGCCAGAGACAAAATTGCAGCCAAAAGGAGAAACCAGGACAGAATAGTGGAGAGAGGTGATGCAACTGAGAGTATTGTTTACACACACTCAGGGCCATCAGGAGAACATTGGGTTCCACCATATATACAATAGTTTGGCTGAGGTTAGGGCCAGTACTCATGAATCAGTTTGTGATTCAGGCTGTGGCCCAAAGAAATACCTTAATGCAATATTGCTATTGGAAAAGTCTGAGGTTCTCTTATCAGCAAAGAAGGTAATTATTATTTGCTTCAGGATATTTCTTCTAACCAGGTGCCTGGCACCAAAACCCTGGCCAAGGCCCCAGTGGAGCCCAGTCTGAAGGCCTTGATTTTTTTCCAGGCTTCCAGGGCAGTTATGCCACAAAACAGCCAATATTTTTCATTATGACATGGGGCTCCCACTGGACCCCACTGGTGGTAATATATGCACAAGGGCCATTCTGTTTGCAAAGAGCTGACAAACAGAATTATCCAAGAAAACCTACTACACTAGCCAAGGACAGCGTTTTTCTTCATCCCAGTTGAGGTAGGAGACAATCCCAATCTCAGGATATTATGTTACATTTAAGTTACAAGCAGTCTGAACATAAATCTTTACACTAAGACCCCTGTGTAGTAGACAAACAAAGTCCAGACTATATTTATAGGTCATCAAGAACATTAGCTGAGAAAAAACCTTCTTATATTAGGAGCTTAACTGAAATCGAAATTCCCTGATATATTAGCCTGCTTTCTGTACTACATAGAGCTTTCTTAATTCATGAAGAGTCTGAGTTGACATTTCATCAGCTCATAAATCTTTTCTAAACTAACTGTTACTACCCACCCCAAGATTCCAGTGGAGATGATGAAAAGAAAAAGAGAGAGATAAATAAGCTGGGTTAGCAAAAAACAAACAAACAAACAAACAACAACAACAACAAACCAAAAAACACCACCAGGAAAACAAGGCATGGCACAGAAGAAAAAACAGCTTCTTTATTGGGGACCCTCTTATATGGAGATGGAGGTAGAGAAATCCATGTAAGTTTGCTAGCTAACCTATGTTAAAATTTTATGTTAATTATACTCCAATTAAAAATAAGTTGAGTTTGAGACCCACTGACAATAATAGCTACCATTAATAGAGCATCATTGGCTATGGGCCAGACACTGCGCTGGTGACACCAAAATCTTGCAGAGTTGGCACTGTCACCATCATTTTACAGATGAAGAAACTGAGGGTCTGAGAATTTACCTTGCCCCAGGTGTCACAGCTAGTAAATTGTAGAGCTGGGACTCCAGCCCAGGTCTTCCTGACCTAGAGACCGAGTTTGTTCTTATTACACCTGTCCTATGTCAAAGGGATAGGTTTGTTGAGTGAGTGATTCTAGGTAATTGGGGAATGGGTTGGAGGTGCCAGGAAAATGGTGAAATGAAAGAAAGGGTGAGGGGGCAGGAGAGTGCCCCTGGGACTCCAGCAGCACTATTAGAGAGTAGTCCAGAGGCTGACTTTGAGCTCCGTAACTACAGCCAGCTTTTCTGACACTCACAGCAGGAGAGAGCAGCATCAGGGGACAAGGAGAATATCTAAAGTGTCCAATTTTTTATAAGAGGGCTGTGCTCACCCATGTCATTTTGAAAGGCAGCCACATAGCCATCAAAGCTCTCACTGTTTGGGAAATTGAAGACATTAATCCAACTAGGTAGCTCCCAGAATGGAATATGCAGTTCTGGGGTATACAATATCCTGAATAAGGTTATGGAGTCTTAGAGTACTCCTCACAGTCTAGTCTGACCTTCAGTTCCCAGGGCCCCACAAACTGGAGCCCTTAATCAACTCCCTTTTTTCCTATTCCTGCTGTGCTCAGCTTTGAAGAGAGTGAAGCTGACAACAATAACAACAAAAACCAAGATTTTGTCAGGGATTTAGTTTAAAAAAACAACTTTTGAACCGTCTCGGGTTCAGCCCACACTCAGTCAATCTCACATCTCCTCTACACCTCTGGTTTGCCAGCTGCCAGCTGAGTGGCATCACTCCTTGTAATCCTCCCTTATCAAACAGTGGCTGGATCCCAGGATCCCAAGATCCCAGAGCTTGCTAAGGAAAGACAATGAACACAAATGTCCCCGTAGAAAGATTTTCAAACAACAGCAGATGTGGGGGTAAGAGAAGTAGGAAGAACTTAAAAGATTTTCTGCTGAATCCTCAGCATACCAGAAAATTCCTCTGCCCAGAATAGCTGTGTCAGACCTTGCAGGGAGGGGAAGCTTGTCCTGTACAAGGTATCTATGATCTGATCTAAGTTTTCTGAATCAAATGCTGATCCATTAGGCTTTGAGAATCCTTCTGTCCTACATGGGCTTTGAAAGTAGACCCCAGGCAGGAAACAGTGGACTAGGAATATAATAGCCCAGCAACCTTATGTAAAAGTTTCCAACCCCCCCTTTCTCCCATTTTACATTTACAAGGTAGGCTTGACCCAGAGCCAGCACAGCAAGACCACTCAGCTGATAAGCCAAGTCCTCTGCTGGCCCTCAGTTCTAGCCCTACAGCCATGGGGTTCTGGAATGAAACAGACACAGCTGACCCTCTCTCAGGGACAACCTTCTAGATGGAAGGTGGCATAATGAGAATGGGGACAAATTCCTCCATGTCAGCAGGCCCTGCAAGCCAACTTGTCCCCTTTGAGCTGGAAG